ACGAATGACGTTACGTCCTTAACATATAGTTACGTAATTAGCGTAAAGGTAAAGGTTAAGGCAAGTAAACTTACTGTGGTTAGGTTTTGGGAAAAAAACACATGGTGAGGACTTATCTAAAAATGACTCAAAGTTCACACGGTTCCAAAACACTGAATCTGCCTCTTTAAAAGAACGCTTGGAACTGCTTCCTTGTCTACTTTTGTCAGCACCTTGGTCACATGATACCATCAAAATAGGACAGTATGTACGAATTTGGTTGCATTACTTTCCAAAGGAAGATGAACAGAGTATGAAAACAGCTTGCAGTGAGTGAGTGAGCAAGCAAGAGAAACAAAGATTGATTTATGTGGGGGTTTTTTGCACTACCGTCACCAGTACAACACCACCATAAAACTCTGATTAGTCTACTGCACACGTTCTAAACGGGGTCATCCCTATCTTTCCCGGGTTCTATGTTCCCCGCTCAGCCAAAAAGGGTTCTATGTTTCCCGCTTGGTGGAGCCGGAAACATAGAACCTTCTTTGTGTTAGCGGGGGACATAAAACCTTTTTTGCAGGGTTAAGTGGGGAACATAGAACCTGGGAAACATAGAACCCGGGAAACATAGATACGCTCCCATTTTAAACACCAGCCAACAGTCCAGGTTTTGCTTAGCTGTTGTTTCAGCACCATGGATAGCGCCGGTGTTCATAGCAGGTGAGGAGGAAGAGGGAGAAGGAGAGAGACCAGAGGTCGTATTTTTAAAAAATTCATACGCACAAAACAAGGCCTGAAAGAGACTACACCACTTCAAACAGAAAAGGTGTGATCTATAAAAATAGACCTGATAGGAGAAAATTTGAGCCATGCTTACGAACATTTTGGAGACGGGAAATTGGTGACGCAGATGGTGAGGTGGAAACCTGATTGTAGAAATTGTCTTATATTTTTTGGCATATGCATGTTTTAGACTGGATCCCACACACTCTTTTATAAATGAGACCCCTGGTGATTAAAACTCGTAAAAAATAGCAGACGAGCCGTGAGCCCAGCACCTGCTAATGTGTGCTCACCATTTTACTCTGATAACCTAAGACCCAGACATTCAGTAGGTTTTAACTGGGAGCAGAATTATCTGCAAAGGTCTCTTCCTCTTGAAAATAAATGGACCATGTGATTTAAACTGGTGAGAAGCACTGAATAAAGCAGTATCATGATTTAAAAAAATGAGTGTTTTTCTGACGCTCTCTTCAGAAGTGGCAGTGAACTATGGCTGACAAGAAAATGCAAAAACACCAATGGTCCTAACCGGAGCCAGAGTTTGGTTTATCTGTTCTGGGATGCTGAAGAAACATGGCGATGCAATATGATGATTTCCCTGAACGAGGACCCACTTCCTGTGTAGACATAAATGTCTAATTTTAAGGTGACAAAAAAACTTAAAAGTGATCATATATTGTACTTCACCCCCATTTTGTATGCCTAAACTGAAATACCCAAATTAAAATGACTGTAGCTTCTGAACCGCTCTGATTACATGCATGCATGAGGTCTTGCCAGAAAGAAAACTCTCTGAAGGTTCTTGTGAAAGTGTCAGAAACACTCTAGGTGATACAGAGACAGAGTAAAGGGCCTCTGAAGTCAGTAAAAAATTGAAGATTTTGCCTAAAATAAAATAAAAAAATGTTTTTCAGGGTGAATAACTGTCTATGGCTTCATCTGAGCAGGTAAATGGCACTATGGGGCTGTAGGCACACTACCAATGAACATTTGTTTCAAATTTGAAGAAGATTGCTCAAAGTATGACCATTCTACAGTGTTTTTTCCATGAAAAGATCCAGACGGAGCTCCAAATGACAAGTCGGTCACTCTATCAGTGATCAAACAACACTCAACCAGCTTCAGACATTGTACCTTAAATCAGCTGTGATTATGATAGCTGATGTTGTTTATGACAGAAACACCATAAAATATCACCAAATAAAGCCATATGAAACGTGAAAGTTATGATCCCACTTTCTAGATGGTATACCTCAACCAAAAATAGTGGTAGGAGTGAGACTCTTACCTTTTATAAAAGAGCTAAGTCCCCGCTAAAATACATTTTGTGGCATCATCCCTGCCTCTTAGTGTTTGACAAATACAATACACGTGCAGATGTGAGCCAGATATTTTTGTCTATTATCAGCCAAAAAGTGGGTGTTGCTCTAACCAAGTGCAGAGGTATTTTCCATAAAGACTAATCAGTTATGACTAAACATCACACACACAAACACATACAAAAATGCAGAATGCCACATCTGCCAAATTAAAAAAAAAAAAAAGTGGCGAAAAAATTGAGGTCTTTGTGAGTATGAAAAAATCTGTACGCTTTAAGCCTGAGAAAAGGTGCAGACAGCACAAAAGCTTTTTGTGAAGGGCTGAACACAATATGCTGGTGAAAGGAATAGAAAACAGGAATGCCATGTATACTAACCCCACCCCCACCCCACCCCTCCTCTACCTTGACTGCATCCCTCTCTCTCATCTGTCCATCCCCTCTCCTCCTTTTCTCTTTCCCTCTTCCATCCCCATCTCTCTGCTCAAAAGGTTAGTAAATGTCAGATGGGAGTTGTCATCATCTTCAATGGCGTCATCTTTCTTCATAGAAACACTGTCTATCTGTGTGTGTGTGTGTGTGTGTGTGTGTATGAAGAAGTTGAAGGGGATACAATTGAACAGAATGAAATAGAACAGGATATTGAAAATGGGAAATTACTGCTTGCATCAAAGGGCGGACACACACACACTCATGCAGAAAGACTTGAAATAGAGCTGAGGATGTACAGTATATACTTGATACTGCACAGCTCCGTCACTGTCTTCCCCTTTCCTTTCCCCTTTAGTCTGCCTCTGCGTTCATCATAAAGAAACCACGAAACTTCAGTGAACAACTTAGCATCAGTGTTGCTGCCTGTGACTTATCCAATTCCTCCACACACAGACATTTTATCTCTCTCTGTCTCACTGCTGTGTCTTCATCACAGCCTGTATTTGCCTCTCTATATATTTTATGACTAATAGAAGGAGCAGGCCTTTGTGGTGATGACAAATCCCCACGCTCAGACAGTTTTACAGCCCCTAAAGAGCCCTTTGACAAACGACTGGGCTGTAAACCTAATATTCTAATGCTGTGTGTTATTGTAATGGCGTGTGTGTGCATGAGCGAATATTTAGGAGATGTTAAGTATTGCTTATCTCCATCAATTAGAAAAGTGCTCGAGTATAAAAAATAAAAAAAAAAGAATCCCAGTACAGACACATACATACAAGCACACTCACAGAGTGGTTTATACACTGAAGATATGTCTGTGCTAATATGCATTAATGTGTTCAACGATGCACAAGCATTATGAACACAGGGAATAACATGTATACACTAATATGTATGTGTGTATATAAAGGTATACATTTATTGCCTGTCTGAAACTATTAGCTAGCTTCTCCTGCATAAGGAAATTGAAAGAGGATTCTATATTAGGACACTTGAACCTAGAGTGTCCAAATATAGAATGTGTGCACAAACTTCAACAGGTCAGTTTTCATTATCACGTATGTGTTGCACCAAGTTTTGTGTACTAAAGTGATTAAAAAGATTGCATTCATTTGAACATTTGAATGTGCATAATACAGTACAATAAAGTCTGCTTTCGCTGTTTAACGATTACATAGGCCTATACTTTATTTACAGTATTTTTAAATTTCCTGCTCACTTTGGGACAGAGGAACATGCATGTAACTGTTGCAAGCAGTTGCCTATTTACTCATCCAGATAACACAGAGCAACATTAGCATTCATTTGGGCTCTGTTTACAACAGGTATTAACATGCCCAAGTGGACAGCAGTAAATACAAGTTTAAATAACCACCAAGACACCAAGACAAGATCCTATCACTCAAACCACTTGCCAAGATGGGCTGAGTGGCATCTAACTTTATATCTTTTGTAGTGTAAATGCTTATGCATGATACATTCCTCTCAAGGACTGCAAGCTCACGCTCTACTTGTCCATGTTACAATGAGTTGAATGAAATATTGCTTAACCATGAGGCAGACATGTTTGATACTGCTGACAGCAATATCTCCAGCTGTATTAACACAATCGCTCACATGACTAGTGAGCATGCTAGTGCACGTCAGCAGGAGTGTAGATGCAATAATTGTGCATGTAAATTTGATAATAGTGTCATTATATGTGCCCTCCTTCTCTTCATTTTGTGGGTCTAAGATATAAACTATGCTGTTGAGATGCTTTTAGTAGTGATGGGCAGATGAAGCTTCATGAATCATTGAAGCTTTTCATCAAATTGGTTCAGTCAAGGGCAAAGCTTCTTGATGCTTCATTTGCTCTACTAAGCCATCTACTGGACAAAAAAGCTATTACAATGAGTGGTTTGTATATATACTTTCTTAACTGAATTGAATAAATCTACTCTCCATTATAGTAACAGTACATATATGATGCACCTATATTAATATAGTGTGTGTTTTTTACACACTATATAATATTTGTATTATTGTATTTTGTAGATTTACACCTTAACGTTTTTGATATTACAATGGTCACAAGGGAAAGTAGAAATCATAAAATAGGGGGTGAGGACAGTGAATGTGCTTGTGTTAACTTGGGTTATGGGGCAGTGGATGTGCTTTTGTAACTTGGGGTTGGGGAAACACTTTTACTCATTTTTGTTGAGAAATAACAATTTTTCTACAGTTGTAGGACTTAGGCGATTTCTTTTTTTTAGAAATTATTTCGCCTGCTTTTGAGAACACCCTTTCACAAGGCACAGAGGATGCAGGGGTGCTCAAGAAGGCCAGTGCAAGCTTGTGCAAGTTGGGGTACAGGTGTTTTTGTCTTTCCCAGTACTCCAGAGGGTCTTCTCGTCTTCCAATATTTGGTTCCATCATGTACCGCTGTACCTCGACTGTGGCATCAGCTGTGACATTTTGTCCTCTGGCTTGCATCACTGTGTCATCAAGATGACGCCACAGTTTGTTGCCTAAAACAGAAACAGAGGCTGTAAGTTACAGTTGTTAATTTAAATGTTGTTATATATATATACAGTACAAAAAAATATATATATATACACACACACACACACACACACACATTACCTTGGGTCACAGGCTGAGAAACTTCTGATGTGGATGGTTGTGGTGGTGGTGGTGGTGATGATGAGGAGGATGACCTGCTGTTTCGAATGACAGCAGCACATTCAGTTGTGAGCCTATTCACTGCCTCAGCTGGGGCACCCTTTGCTGGGGCTGAAAAAGCCAATGCTTTTGAACCGAGGGTCAAGCAGTGTGGACAGTGACATGATGCTCATTGATTGTAGCTGATAAAGCCTTTCTCTTAACTGCCTCCTCAGATGGTTCGCAATTGAAGTGCTGTATGGAGTTTGAGCATTTCCCACTTCTTCTTCCAGTGAGTGGTCCAACATCGAAAGAAGTGGAATCACCTTGGAGCCAGAAACCCTCTTCTCCTCGGAGAGCTCCACAGTGGCATCGTTAAATGGAGCAAGCACCCGCAGACACCCAGCAATAATGCCATACTCCTCTGATGAGAGTGGGGTGATGTCGGTGCTTAGGTTGGCCAAAGCTGCTCCCACAGGTTCTCTTAGTTCAAAGACTCTTTGTAACATGTGGTAGGTGCTGTTCCACCGAGTCTCCACCTCTTGTGTGAGTTTGAGTTTTGGCCTCCCCATTTGCTCCTGTACCTGTGTGAGCCTCTCCTTTAAAAACAACAACAAAAACAATTAACTGAACTGCCGCAGCAGCAGCAGCAGCTCAAACAAAGCAGCATAATTAAAGAAACTGTAATGAAGTCAAGGAACATACCTTTGCAGTGGTGCTGCTCCTGAAATAGCCCACCATTTTCCGCAATTTGGCCCGGATGTCACACACCACTGGGTTGTGGTCAAGGGCCTTTTTCACCATCAAATTCATGGTATGGGCTACACAAATGGTGTGACGCAGATGCATCTCCCTGGCACATGCACCCATGTTTGCTGCACCATCTGTGACAAGGCATGTTACCTTGTCATTGATCCCCCACTCTACCTGTAACAATTGAATTTTTCTTAATGTGTGATGCTGCTGGTTACACCTGAATTTCCTCATCTGAGGATTAATAAAGTACATCTTATCTTACCATGAGGGAAGTTTTTACCCTCGCCAAATTTTCTGCTGTATGGGCCTGAGGGAAATGCAGTACCCCCAAAACAACTGCATTTAGGGAGCTACCATCCACAAAATGGCAGGTGACAGCAAGGTACACATCCGTGTTTATGGAGGTCCACATATCAAATGTGAGGCTGACTGCGGATGCCTTCTGCAAGCTGGCTTTGGCCTTCTCCTTTGTTTCCTTATACTTGGCCTCCACCATGGCTTTCAAAGTCTAATGGAAAGAAAACACAGTTATGGGGGGAACAAAAAAACAAAACAAAAAAAGCTTCATATGCTTACATACACACCTTCCTTGTGGGGAGAACATAGTTAGGGTTCAGTGCCTTGACAAACTTCTGAAAGCCTTGGTCCTCCACAATGCTGAAGGGCTGAGTGTCCTGGAGGATCATGTTAACCAAGTGCTCATCGATTTCATTCTTGTCTCCTGAAAAATGACACATTAGTATTGAATGACACTTGTATCATTAACCACACAATAAAATGTTCAATGTCGATAATACCATTATCATAACAATTTAATTCTATTATTTTATGCTATGTTATCATTGCATTTTCAAATGGCTCACCCGAGCTTGGTCCACATCCGTTGTCCTTGTTCTCATGCAGGGCTCGGTAATGCCTCAGCATAGATGAGGTGTTGTTACTATATCCCAACTCCTTGGAACATAGCAAACACTTCACCTTTGAATAAAAGAAGAAATAGTGACAAATAGGCCTACAGTTATTGATAAGCAAACTTAATGCATCTGTAGTAATGTTAGAATTAGCTTACCTTATTGGGAGTGATTAAATCGAAGTGTTCCCAAACAGGGGAAATCCTCCTCTTTCTCGCTGGCTCCATCCTACCAAACTCTCCAAGCTGTCCTACTCTCCTAACACTCCTAACTCTCCTAACTATCTTACTCTCCAAACTCTCCAAACTATCCAAACTATCCAAACTATCAGAAACTCTCCTCTATCACAACCACACATTTTGAATGAAATCTATGGGGTTTATATAGCTGTCAAATACTCGCGCCAAGATCTGAACCACTTCCCGAGCCAGTCACGTGGTAGAGCCGGCCAGCGAGGCTTCGGATGTCACCAATGACGTCACTCGTCTGAAACGACACAAGCCTCGACGCGTGCATCGCGGAAACACTTCCTGAATTACTCGACACACGCTTCGAAGCCTCGGCACGGCAAGTCACATCACTAGCTTTTAGTTCAGATTATATTCAGATTGAGGAAACAACAGCGCCACCTGCTGTCAAAACTCAGTATCTGCGTGAAGAAGTGAATAGCAGAGGATTATAGGTAAGGTTTTCAGGTAGGTTTTCAGAGCTACAGAGGATTTTCCATGAGAAAGAGCATGAGTGGGTTGTCCACACCAGGTGACTTTCCCTTTGCTATTTATCCCAGAGATACGAAGGGTTTTCCATGAGGCAAATAAACCTGGCTGTTACAACCATCCACCAGCTCCGAGTGGTTTATTAGAGCAGACGCCACACACAGGTCACATAGCCAGTAACAAAATCTGAAACCAGTGATCAGCTAAGGATTCATGATAGACACTGGTGTGAAGAGCACAGTCTCACTCCAGAGTCTTTGAAATCCGGCGCTTGGGCAGTGACTTGCGGCGTCAGAATCCAACAAAAACAGGCGTCCTTTAACATTGGCATGATATGCGGCAAATTGCCACTGTAGTTTAATGGCACCCAGCGGCATCAGGGGTAGACACGGCAGGACAAGAATGAAAGTTAAGGTAGTGAAAGTCAGAGTGGGCTGGTGGGAGGGGTGGTGGATGGGTCCAACAAACACTGAATTCTAAAGCCAAACCCTGTTCTTTTTTCCAAAACCTAATCACTTCTTTGTTGCCTAAACCTAACTGTGTTTTTTTTGCCTGAACCTAACTGCATGCTGTTGTTGCCTAAACCCAACCATGTGCGTTTGTTGTTAAAGGAAAAAACAACCATACAACACGTACCAACGTAGTGTGTTTATTTTGAAAGAGACTGTATGTAAGAGACTGTATGGAAGGTCCATGACCAAAACATTAATATGTGATGAGGTCGGAGTGAGAATGTTTTGGTGTGAATGGTGAGGTGTCTTGGCCGTCCGTTTGTGTTAGGATTACAGAAACACATGTTAACACAGAGTCATGCTTCTGGCCATCTAATGAATCTAAGCCTAATATTCACTAGTCCAATATTAGCTAAGTTTTGGCTCACACCAAGGGAAATATCAGGTTTTACAACTGTCACTATCTTTACCAGCCTAATGCTAACTTTGTTTAGCACTGGGCAGCTAGTGCACAGCTGGTTCATCAGAGATTTTTTTTGCTGAAATCAGCTGCCGCTTGCAACTGGAAACGAAGAGTGAGAGCGGTGAGACTGAACCAGAACAGTAAAGCTGTGGGCCGTAAAACCAAAACAATGAGTTGACACAGGTTAAAAAGCTCAACATAGCTGAGGGGAACTACAGTATACAGAGTTTGGTGATAGCTGCTGGTTGTGGGTTTGTCACCACGACAGACCCCTTTAACCAGGGGCGAAAACCCCATTTCATAGGGACAATAAACAGTAAAATTTTAGAGAATAATTCCAGGGGGGAACAAGGAAAAAAAGTTGTAGCCTGTCTTTTATACAGCATCTTTTACCGCAATTTGACGCTTTAATCTTCTCTCTATCTCTCCAACAGGCAGAGTGAATGTCTATACTAACTAAACTAAAACTAAAACTAAACATTTCCTGCAATTAAACTGGTGAACTGGTTTATAAACAGTGTGCTGTGAGATCTGCCGCTGCGCACCTCACAACGGTGCGTAATAGTCGTGCGTAATGACCGCTCCTCATCTGCACATCTTTGATGTTTGTCTCACTGACAGGAGGAGAGCCTACAGACAGGTACCCATTAGCTACGCTCCGCCACAACAGTGCGTAATAGTCACGCGTAATGACCGCTCCTCGTCTACACGTCTTTCATGTTTGTCTCACTGACAGGTGGAGAGCCAAAAGACAGGTACCCATACGAGCCACTCCGCCACAACAGTGCGTAATAGTCACGCGTAATGACCGCTCCTTGTCAGTTAGACTGCACGTCATTCATGTTTGTCTCACTGACAGGTGGAGAGCCTACAGACAGGTACCCATTGCTCCGCCACTGACTGCTCTTGTCCTGTCCTCTCCCTCTTCTTTCTCTCCTGTCCTCTCTGATTATCACTAAACTCTGAGCTTAATCATTAGCTTTTAGCTTAGCAGCACTCGTAATTGAGTAGGCTTTTGAACAATGCAGGAGAAACAGGCGCCAATGCCCAAAATGTCTCCCCAATATATAACTGAAACTGAAAAACAACAACAAAAAATGTTGAGGTCGGGTAAAAAGAGCAGTGATACTATGTGATGTGCATTATATTAAGTTGTAGGGTATGTCTGCATTTATTTCTTTAATCAGAACACAAAATTAATTTCCACTTAGGTATAATAAAATGTTTTCTGATTAAGACTGACAGTGACTCAGTGAATACCTTACTCAGTTTTATTTGATTAATGGTAAAACAGGTCTCTGTTTACATTCAAAGGTATTTGTGTGGGCAAACTGATGAAAAGTAGTCTGTTGATGACCACAGTGGATTGTTCAGTCATTGTAGAGCCAAATTAATTCAAATTTACCCATTGAACGGGTCATCTCAGCCATCATCACAACAATTGCCCCCCCTGAGAAATTTGGCAGGAGCCGCCACTGGATATACCACTACTAGGAATGGGAGGGGGGGACTAAATCTTTTAAGATTTAAATAGCACATTATTGCGCAATTATAATGAGCACCGCTTACACTGTGCTTTCAATAAATACTACAGCTTTACTGAAGGGGGAGTCATGTCCCCCCTGCCACCAACCCCCCCCCCCCCCGGATTTCTGCCCCTGCCTTAAACATTACACGAAGTTATTTGATCCATTGTCAATATAAAAATATTGACTGGTGCAGCTTTAAGGTATCCACAATGCATATATACAGTATGAGATGCCTCCCTTGAATTAGACACATCAAATGCAGCACACATGTCTTTTCCTTCCCTGTGTGATGCTACAGGTATTTAATCAGATAAAAGGGAAGGGGCAGCAGTTATGGATGGCAGTATAGGCAAGAATCGTCCATTGAGCTTAGCTATTAATTGCATTTTGATACACGTTTACAATGTATAGTACAAAGATATATATGTCCATGCAAATCTACAGATAAATCTCAGGGTTAATGTGATTTTGAAGAGATCTGTATGTGTCCCTTACACATTTACGTTAAAAAAAACTTTGCCCTAGGGAATAAAATTAAACTGCACCAATGCTCAGTGAACACTGCCAATGAAAATGCTAGAAAACTGCATACCAAAATTTTGTGTATGCTCTCCATATTTAATCTACCCTCATCAGAAAGAAAGAGGCGGATTTGAGAGAAGCAGACAAGTGAGAACTAAACAGTGGTAAAAAGTACATTTACTCAAGTACTGTACTTAAGCAGGAACCTGTACTTTGCTTGAGTATTTCTTTTGTCTGCTGCTTTATACTTAGAGTACTTCTAATTCTTACACCTCTACATTTATCAAACAGATTTAGTTACAACTTACTTTGCAGATTCAGATTAACAATGCAAAATATATCAGTCAGGATAAATTGTTCTCCAGTGGCAATTTTACAAGCTACCCAGCAGTATGTAAAGTAATACATAAAATATATATAAATAAACTGAAATGAGCTCCACCTTTGCCAGCTGCAAAGGTGGA